AGTTGCGTTATTGATTGCTTCTATGAGCTCTTGAATGAAATTCTTTAACCCCAATCTGGTCACCGGTTTTATAACGATTGATATCACGACGTGCCTCACAGACTCATACTGAGAAAAGACTCCCGTATCGGGACGGGAACGATCCAATCGACTTTAAATTGGAAACAGGGACATATTCAGCGACTCGTCTGTCGAATTTGAAAATATACTGACTGACTGCACGAAAAAATGCTTTATAAATGATGTGATTTTGTGTTGCTCCTTCTGTCAAATTGAATGCAAATGCTGCGTCTTACTAGATCTTATCCTTTTCAATCGATTTCTGAAATCAAATCTATCTGTATCCGAGGGTATATGCACCTGCAGGGGAAATGTAGGCATAATGTAGAAGACGAGCTACTACGAGGCATTATAAAATTTATTTAATAAGCTTAATTTTTTTTCTCTCTCTTCTAAGCTATTACAATATTACAATCATATAAGATTTCTTACATTTATTATTCAATGTTACGAACAAGAAAGCAGATTGAATATATGCTCTGATTAAAATGAGAGACGGTCTTTTTTTAAAGAAAAAAAAAGAAAAGAAAAAAAAACGTGTTCTTCAGGTTTATGTATTCAACGAATGCTAACGAGTTTCAAACATTTGTCACGTACCCACACGTGTTTTATAGATTTTAAAACCGTTGAACGTTTACTTCATGACTTGCCGTTGGTTATATAACTAAAACGTATATGCATGTATACATATCGACGTAACTGTTGTTTATAAAGTTAGAAAATAAGAAAAAAAAAAAAAAAGAACAACAAGAACTATACAGTATTATTTCGTTTATATCACATAAGAACAGAGCGTTAGAATAGTGAGTTCCGGCTGACAAAAGTAGTGAAATAGTTAAAGAAAAAAAAAAAAATAAATAAAAAACAGTTTTCTTGATCATTACAATATCACCGCGACATAGCGCATTTAAAAAAAATAGAAACGGAAGACGGTTCATTTGAAGAATGCATTGTAGAATGCTACTGAAAAGTTCAACAAGTACTTTAAGGTTTAAGTTTTTGTAATGTAAGTGTGAAACGTCTCACGATATAATGCTTTAGTCATTGCGTTAGAGAATCAGTTTATACAATTTTATATTCTTTGATGCTTAATAAATCATCTCCTGCTCCTCTTTAAAACTACGACTTTGACGGCACAGATCCATTCACGAGCACGTGCACAAGCATCCGTGCATCGATACCCTCATCTAAGTTTATATTGCTAAACAGATATGAAGGCAAGTGTGGTAAAGCAGTAACATGCCTTGTATGTAATTTTGATGATTTATCAAATAAGAAAGTAACGGAAACATTGCAAATGTAAGAAATTCGATTTAGCAAAGTCTGAGCGAGAAAAAATATTCATAAAAGATTATCATTGTTTTCATTTCAAAAGCGGCTCTACGCCAGCAATCAAGGTCGAAAATCTGAATCGCTCATAAGCCCGCCTACAAACTACAACGACAATAAAGAGAACCTATAAAAAAATGAAACAAGTTTTTTCCAACATATCGTTGCCAAGGAAATGAAAATGATTTTCCCAATTTCGCATCTGCTCGAGCTTCGTGAAGATAGGCTTTCGCAACTCGAACGTCCATGGCTATCATTAATGTAGATGGCTATCATTCAGAGAAAGAATTCAGTCTGAAAGTTTTCTCAGATCTTTGATAATAAATTTTTAAATGTTTTTGTTTAAATCGGTAGGATTTACTTTCAGATGAATATGGTTTTCTCACCTTTTTGGTGTGGTTTCGTTATTTATGCGAACCGATATTTCTTTCATTGTTTTCATCGAATATTAAGAATCGAAAATCAAAAATTATTTTTTTAATTGCTAAGAAATCACTTCACTAGGGATTTTTTTTTTATACTAAAATATATTGATGCAGACCAATAACAGATTGGGTTCTAAGTTTGAGTTTGCTGGCCGGGACATGTAAGCGGGATTTTCTTTAACGGATTTCGTTGCTTTTCAAATGTTATCGTTGGCCCTTTGGAATTACGAATAGCGGCGGGCGGATAGAGGCACATGGCTAAGTCGCCATAGAATTCCATATAAATGTATCCAATATAAGATATGGTGATTTTGATGCATCTTTCCACACCATATGAAGTGAGTAATAATAGTTGTAACTCTTCTTGGCCTGTTTAATGCAATATGTGTAGGTTATCGATCAGTCAGGTCTTGCCATGATTATGAGTTTTTGGCGTGATAAAGCAGAAGGTTAGAAATTCGCAAGTAACCGTTAATTGATATCAATAAATGAAGTTTATTGAAAAGCGATTTCGTCACATTTTCATTACATATCTGAACGTTGCAAAAAGAGTAACATATTTATAATCCCTCCTCCTCCGGCTTTTTTTATGATTTTCTGGTGATCCAAGCATTCCTCGGCTAAGCTATGATAATATTTGTCTCCAATAAAATGAATTAATATATATAAAAGCTAACAATCGCGCCCCAGCAACATTAACGGTCAGCTTAATAATAGCAATGTGTGTTTATAATTTACATTCATATATAGAAAGGCGATCATATATATGCATATCGACATACCTATCTAGCAATTATAATGTGTTTTTAATATTCACACGAAGAAAGGCAATAATGATATTTCAACAACAACAACAAGAGTATTAAAAAAATTATAAAAACAACCGTAATAATTAAATATATATATATATATATATATGTATATAAATATAAATTAAATACATATATATATATTTATATATATATATGTACCTATCTGTATACCTTATGTACATATATAAATACACACACACACACAAACATACACACACTTATATATAAGTCAGACAATATAAACAAGTGTATGAATCAAGTGAGAAACACACGTTTAAACGAACAGGCAACTGAGTCAATCCAACCGAAAAGGCCAATAGGAAAAATATATATTTTCATTAACAATTTTCCCAAATTAAACAACACGTTGTCTTTAACATGATGGAATTGCGTTCTACAACACAATAGCAGCGATCGCAGCAACATTCGATTCCATTTTCTGACGAAGCAAAGTAACAGAAACTTACTCACTATGAAAAGTAGCGTTGGCAGCAAAGATTATTATAAATTAATTACGAATTAAATATTAGTGTTCAGGTTCAATATCTAACGCAACATATCAAAATTTTTGTACTGCGAAACAAGCGATTTACGCAGACAGTCAAGCTTTTATTTCAAATCCCATGAATTCTTGTCTTTAACTAAAACGCTCTGGGTACGCTCTCGATATCGTGAAATAAATTTTGAAAATTTAAAAAAATAGGTTTATGTAACTTTCCATGCATTCCTGATTTTCAATTTACACAAATTGACTTGAGAGTGTGGAGCACACCGCTCAATGCTTCTTTGCAGAAATTTCAAATAAGAAAACCAGCTTAATATGCTTCACAATTGCGAAATAGTCGAGACGAAGCTAGCCCGTAACAAACTTGACTTGTAGGGAATTTAGTAATGCCTGTACATTGTATATACACTGTTACACTTGTTATACTTAGGGTAGAGAGATGTCCTGTATACTTTCTCTATAGGAATGCGCATTAGGGAAACGCTAAAGTATTAAAATTTTCGTTCCGGTTAACTAATCTGTCTGCGCTCCTGCTCATATGTGATTCTACCAATTCTCTTAACATATCCTCTATTAATGGAAAGCATAAATTCATGGATATTAGCAATGAAAACTGAAACTTTCCATATAGACTATCAGTTGGAAGCGATACTCTAAATAAGAAAATAGACGTGACGTGCGCGCAAAAAAACTATAACTTGCAATATATATAGCAGATATTAATCTGAAACTGGTATATAAACGAAGATTATCTATTTGCAAGCCATGGTCTGCCTCATCTGCTTAAAAGCATTACCTGAATACACAAAAAATTTCAATACAAAACGGTCCGGTCCGTAACATATTCTGATTTTTATTCATAATGTTTATTGGCAGCTAAGCGACTATTGCAATACTTACTTTCTTGCCTTTCTCGGTCTTAACTGACTACAAAGGTGCTTACACTTACGGGGAAGATCTCCTGAATGGCTGATCGTAAACTATATGAGAATATATTTCGAAAATCTGATTACTTTAAGGCGAAGCCAGATCCAGTTCAGGGATCGCACAAAGTATATATCTGAAGCCGTTTATTTGTGTCCATCCGTCCATCTGCCAGTCTGGGAATCTACGCAATATCTGCAGCAAATATTCTCACGTTCGCAAAAATGAAAATTCGACAAAAATATTCGGAAAAAGGCCCAATAGCCTAAATTAGTCAAAGGACACGCCTACAGTGTAGCACAAATGGAGTGTAGCTCTACTTTCTAGGTTTTCTTGTTCAATACTCATAAAAACTAAACGGTACAGGTTTCCAGTTGTATCCCAGAAAAATGGAAATGATGGGCCCATCTTCTATCGTATGGAAATTTAATTTTTTCGTTTTTTTTTTTTTAGTCTATTTTAGTATATAACAACAAATTTTGTATCTGTTGGCTCTTAATCACTTCTGTGATTTAATCAGAAATCTAGAGCATTTCCTATTGGGTATTCAATCAAACAATGTAAACAGTTTTGCTTGCTCGTATAGCAGGGTTCGCACGTTCGATGACTGACTACAGCAACAACTAAAGCTTATCGCTAACAAAACCGACAGCAGTAGTGTTTCTCGTTTTTATACATTTAGTAGAGTCTCCACATAAAGTTTACGAGTGTCTCGTGTTAATTTTAGGAAAAAAATTTTTTCCTTTACTCAAATGCAATTCATTTTAGTTCAGTCACTGGTGGTGAACGGGTGAAGGTATTCAACTTAACGGAATATTAAAAATTAATTAATTAATTAATTAATTCATATCTGAAGACATTTGTAAAGTTTTTAAAAGAATTTAAAGCCAAGACGAACCAAAAAAAAAAAAAAAAAGTAAAAACATAAGGAAAAACTATATATAAAAAATCAAGATTTACGGAAAAACGTGATTTAGAAAAAGCAAAAAAACAAAAAAAAAAAAAGAAATAAAAAGCTACTGATTACGTGAGCTTTACATAAATGCAGTAAACGTCACGTTTTCAGCAACATTATTAGTAATTATCGCGAAAGATTTAACTAATACACGAAAATGAATAAAATATAAAAAAATATTTTATAAAATAATTCGGGCGGTGGCACTTCGTCGGTTTCATTCATTATACATATACATGCTTATTAACACACACACACACACACACACACATATATACATATGTGAAAGCAACAGAAGGAGCAACAATTATAATAATAACGCAACGCATGGAAAATTCCGATAATAAAATGTTTCTTTACTAGTAAACAAGTCGTGGATTTTGTAAGCATTCAACTAAAAATATTCACATTCATTAAAAAAATTATAAAACGATCACGTTTATAACGCTTAACAATAAAATACTTATACGTATACATATCTAAATATACATATGTATATATGCAGATGCATATAGACTTTATATAAATATGTATATATATATATATATATATATATTTATATCTAACCGAACAATTGAAATCATACACAGAATACGTGTATCTGTGCATGTGAATACGTCTGAGTATTTTCTTTTTTTTCATTTTTATTTTTATTTTTTTTTTTTTGCTCTTTCGTAAACGTGAGTGTTTACAAATGAATGATTTGAGACTTGGTATCTAAATTTAAAAGCCACACACTCTAAGCATTGGACTTTGGCATTTTCACATGTATATACGCACGTATATATGCGGGCACCTACTCACATAAAAAGATTGCTGGAAAGATATTGTGTGCTTTCTATGTTGCTTCTTAGTTTTTTTTTTTTTTTTTCTTTCTCACTTTTTCTCTCTTTTTTCTCTATCTCTCTCTCCCACCCCTTTTCAACCAAAAAAAAAAAAAAACAAAAAACAAAACAAAAAAACATTTATTATTTTATATATGATTATGAAGTGAATATATTGACAAGAAAGCTTACCCGTATGCAAGGGAATGCGCGACTGAAGGAAATTGAAGAATTTCTATGCGAGAGAGCAATAAGAAGAAAAAGTCGTTTGTGTTGTGTTTTGCGTGTGCGTGTGTATGTTTGTGCGCGCATTTATTAAACAGCATAACATACTCTGAAAGTAAATAAAATTTTCAAATTAAAAAAATCGAAATAAAATATAAAAATATTAAATAAAAGAAAGCAAAAAAAAAAAAAAAATAATAATAATAATAATAATAAATAAATAAATAAATAAATGAAATAATAATAATAATAGTAAAGTGAAGTGAAGAAAGTGATTAACCTTATCAGCGGTTTTCTTAAAAATTCCTAGATTATTATAAAGTAATTAAAACAAAATATATTAAAATACAACCTTCAATATAAAGATAAGAGAAAGACGGCATTTAATAATTTTTGTTAAAAAACAAAAAAAAAAAAAAGAAAAGAAAAACAGAAATCTAAGAAAAAAAAAAAAAACCAAAAAAAAAACAAATAATAAAATAGAAAATAAAGTGCAGTGTTTTACGTTTCCAAGTGCATTTTGCATTAACAGCTGTAATAAACAAGAATTAAAGGATGAAATGAAATTAACAACCACCTCTCTATCTACCACCTAAACAAAAAGTGATATTAGCTAAAACAAAGGCAAACATTTTATATATACATATATGCATATATATATATATATATATTTATATATGTAAAGCAAAAGCGCAAACTCAGTTATCTTCTTCTTATTCTAAATAGAATATATATTTGTATATATATGTAAATATATTTATTTACACACACACACACATATATATATATGTATATATATTTATATATATTTATATATATATATATAATCAACACAATAACAACCTGTTTGAGCGTTTGCTTCCTTCATTTTAAAAGGCATCTTTACAATCGGCCCCACCGACATTCTGCTACATATATTTTATCTGCTGGTTATTAAAAAAAAAATAAATAATATCATCATTCCGCCGCAACAGCAGTTAATGTTTAAAGCGTTTACGCTGCCCACAAAAATAATAAATAAAATTTCCAGTGAATATTCGCAAATTCCTAAAATTGTTAACATCATCGCAACGACCAACAACAACACTATCATCATTATTCCACAACAGCGTAACAACATTATTGAGAGCAAAGTTGTTAGGCGCCATAAAATTAAAGACAAAGTAATGGAACCGTATTGGAGCGACGCAAATGGACATGCTCCGCATTCGGTGAAGTATGAGAGGTTTGTATAAAATGCAAAACAGATTTCAAAAAAAAAAAAAAAAAAAAATTTCCACTTGTTGTTTTTCACTTCTCTATACTTTTATAGATATCTACATAATATATATTTCCATATATCGCTGGATATATTATTCGTGGTTACATATATGTATGTAAAATATTTATGTTTGTGTATATAATCTGTGGAAATTTACTTAAAGAGCAATCGCTATCACATTATTTAATAATATCTACTTTCTACACACTCCACACTACTCTATTGCCACTTAAACTCGAACAAAAAACCTTTCGGTTCCTTTAGAGTTGCTTTGCAATTTATTTTTCATTCGAATGATTCGAATTGATTGAATGATTTGTCATCGGCGTCAGGAATTTTTTTTTTTCCCCCCTTTTTTAAAGAATTTTCACTAAAGTGAAGAATATTCGACTGATCTTATAATATTTTATGATGTCTTTCGAAAATGGGATTGACATGTCTACAATCGATTGTGTCTTAAAAAACAAAAAAAAAAAAAAACGAAAAAATGAAATATTCCTTCTCTATAATATTGGGTGGGCCTAATTGATTTCTTTTCATCTTTGTGCAAGTACTATAGGATCGACCATAGAATACAAATGAAATTTTTATCGTTTATATCTATTGTAGCTCATGTTTAAAACTATTCCGGACATTCCTCAAACGAAGATAGATTATCTGCCTAGAGATAGGTTAATTCTAAAACGAATTTTGATAGACACTTAAGTCCTTCTTAATAATATCAGCGATATGAGCAACGAATAAAAGGACTCTGAGTGTAGAATTTGAGAAACATAGTTTGGGACTATGCGAGATTCGGCCCCCGCTGAATATAACTTTCTTATTTGTTTTAATTCTATTCTATTCTCTTTTACAAAATCGGGAATTTTATGGTTACGCCTACTAAGGTAGTGACGATCAAAAAGAAAAATACTCAAAAATACTTTTTTCGAGAATTTTTTCGCTACGCTTTCACTTTGGCAAAAAACAATTCTGATTACTTTGTAGTGATGGAAATGTGGAAAAGAAATATATAGGGGAATTAAATTCACTCCATGACGAAGCAAGCGGATCTAATATTTACGATTTTTGTTATTTATGTTCATGACAAACAATTTCTTGATCGACATCTATCGGTAAACGATCATTGATTAATGAAATTTCGACGTAAGTTCTCTGAAATTGTATTAAACAATTTGAATATCGCAAAAGTTTGACTCACAATTACTAGTAAGCGTGTTTAAGATCTATTTCAATCTGTAATTTACGCAAATAACTCTAAAATAGTTGCAGATTGCAGAGAATGCTAACAGCTCACAGAATGCTAATTGGATTGTTTACCGAGCGATCGCATATAAACTACGTCAGGCACTTAATATCCACAGTATAGATGCTTCGGGAAATTCCTAATGCATCAATTATGGGATTAACGGATGTAACATCCGTAATTTTAGATAGGCATAGGTTGTACCAACACCTTTTTGAAACAATAACTTGTTCGTATGGCGGACATATTCGGAGAGCTAACGTATCGTTCCGTTTTTTCATCTTGAACTTTTATATTTTGAGGAAAGTCTTTAAAGCTGCCTTCGTAATTGCGAAAAAAATACTTATACTAATATGCCCTCGCAGGAGAGTATGTCTAAAAACCTATGTGGATAGGCATTTACTTCCTTTGACAATTTGTATATATAAAGGGATATTTCAAATGTATCGTCTCTCATCGAGAAAGCATTATGGAGCTTTTCTCGCAATCAGAATAAGTATGTAAGGTAGTATCAGTTTATCTGCTGGCATTTGTATTATTCTGAGCGAGTTATGTATACACGTAGGATCTGCTTTTCCTTTTACAGTTCATCAACATTTAATTTTCAAGAGTAAATACAGATGTGCCTTTTTCTCTTGCTTATTTTCAGTATAAATCTAACGGTAAATGTTTTTTAAAGCATTTCAATCCCGTTGCTGACAAAATAAATTCATTGGATTAGCGTGTAAACACTACTTTTACTTTTACGTTATTGAAGAATTTTATTTTAGTTAGAACTGACTGGCGTTTCATACACAACAAGACACTATGTAAACAAAACATGTCGAGCAGGTCTTTGGTGGCGTATTAGTTACGCATGTATTAAAATCTCAAGGATATGTCAGAAATTGTTTCAATAAAACACCTGACGCAACCTTTATGTATAGCTCCATATACATGCTTTTATATTTATCTACCATGAACGTGGTCTTATAAAGCACGGACGTGGGCATGTTGTTATTTCAATTCTATTTTAGGATTATATTATATTTATAATGAAATATTAAAATGCATGATAACGTATATCTGCGTTTTTTATATTTCAAATTTCCTCTCTTTTTTTTTTTTACACCCACTAGCGAAGCAAAAATTAAATTTGGTAACACTGCATTTTTTAAAATGAAAAAAAAAAAAATAAAAAAAAAAGTTTTGATTTTAAAACCGTTTATGTCTTTTCTTATTTACAAGAATATTGTGGGATTTAAGACCAGGACACTATACCCATTATTGATTCATTGTCTTTGTTATTAAAGCTTAAGACTTTCTAGAATATGTCTATGATTTTTAAAATACCTATTATCTAGAAAACTTCATAAGCTATTATAATGAGAAATGCCGTTAATAGGATATTTAGAAACCTTACGTCCTTATTACCTCCTCCTAAAAATTTGTTCATACAAAAGTGAATAGAAAATTTTATCTATATCTTCGTGATAAGAAGAATAGCGATACCAAAATGATTAATTACGTGAGCCAGACGTGCCGCGACCTAGAAGATCTATTGGCTATGCCCCTAGCCTTCCAGTTTCAGGATTTTTATGAATACCGCCATCTTCTTTGGAACGGTGCACGATGTCGTCTCCGGATTAGTAAAATGCTCGCCAAACACTTGTAGTCTAATTCTGCAGATGGCCCCATATTCAGATAGAATATGATGAGACGTTTCCCTCGCCCCTTTGGCAGAATCTTCATGAATCATTATCAATGCCCATAGTAGCCATGTTTTTCAGATGATACCTGAAGGAATTATGACCCATGTAGAAGTCGGTGACTAAAGATAGATCGCTTCTTCTTAGTTCCAATAGATATTGGCACAAAAGTCCTTAGCGTCCATTAAACTGTAGGGAAACATGAATATCTCCTTAAGACGATTGAGTGAATACTTGAAATGATTGATTGAATATTTCTTCGCAATTATCTCATTAATGACGTTAGATTAGAAAAATGTATTTATGCAACCACTTTAGGCGTCCAGTTTTTGCAGGTATTTATTTGAAATATACAAAGATTTTCTTTGTTGACTTGTTATTACTTTTAAAGTAATTAACTACAACTTTGCATAAGTTAATGTAGTAAGATGTATAACCACTTGAAAAGATAAGTAAGTAAAGATCGTTCTTTATTAACAAAAATTTTTTCTAAATATTTACTTTTCTTATTGGTCGATGTTTCCTTTACTCTAAATTCGGTTGAGCGTACATTTTGCAAAGCCTTTAACTTAGTTCTATGAACTATTTAACAGAGCTCTATATATACAAACATCAAATTATGATTGAAACTGGAATCTGAATCTTGAAGGCCTCACAAAGTAGACCAATTCTTGGTCTATTTCAAATACGGAATGCACCTAAGCATGTCCGTTTGTTCGTCTGTCCATCTGTCCGTGGTGCACATTCTCCAGTTCTCAAAAAGAACGATACCGCCTGCCAAGTTGCAAAGGAATTTGAAAATGGCGAAACCAAGTCAAGGAGCACGCCTACAAGACCCATACGTTTATATAACCAAAAGGGAGAACACTTTTGCTTTTGCTTGTGTTTTTTCCTCGTTGCTCATATTTAATGCTCATAAGCTAAAATAAGATACACAATATATATTTGAAAAAATTATCCACGCCCCACCATAACGCGTATGGGTGTAGAAAATTCGGTCGCAACCACATGTTATTTTTTTACTAGTCTTATATAGTATAGCAATCTATATGAAAGTACTTCTCAAATGAGCAAAAACCCTATTTTTAAATACTCATCACATTTGCCATTTTATTCCTAACCTTCATTGACATTATTTGCCGTTTTTACCTTTTTTTTTTTATTACCTTCGCATTCCAAAAGTATTTTACTCTAGATTCATAGGGTGGTTCGATAAATGTTTCCTACATTTTTCCTACGGACTACACATTCAAATCCAACGAAAATCTAATGCTTCGATATGTACTGAGCTCCGTTAAGTATAAATATAGATAACAGAGTTAAATGAATGCCTTTGCAAAAGCTTAGTTAATAAACCGGATAAATGTCTTTGTCGAATATAAGTTCACACCTTTTCGTTTTAGCTATCTTAAGCGTATAAGTGCAAATAAAACGATCGACTTGTTAAACTTTTAAATATTTGCATACATATAGTGATGTATTTTTATTTAAATAGTATTAACGAAATTATGCATAATTTGTTTTGTATTTAAAAATGTTTTTCTTTTTTTGCTTTTTTTTTTTTTTTTTTTTTTATAATATTTAATATCACATGAAATTTTAAACACGTGACATGATCAGTTCACCATGAACGTATATATTTTTGTTAATATTTTAAATATATAAAAATTCGTTTGCATGCCCATACCTGTTTGAAAACTAATTAACACTCTATATATATATATATATATATATATATATATAATAGCGGAAATAATAAGCTACACATGTTTCAATCTAATCTGTTCTCTCTCTCTCCTCTCAATTTCAATATGACAATAGATATTTCATTTTTCTCTAAACTCGTCAAATATTACATTGAAGAAACGGCTAATATTCATAAGCAAGTAGTGTTGCTTCCTTTACAGAATTGTGTGTTCTTGCCAGTGTGCGCTTGACATATACAGAATATGTAAGGACCGTAAGCACCATTCAGAATATAGACAAAAATGTCAATTTATATGAAAATCGTCCTTTAATTATATAATTTC